AGGTGTCCCATGACATAACTGCCATAGCTTTACCGTGTGTTGCTGGGATGATTTCAAGTTGAAAAGGTCAAGTTAATATATACTTGGAACGCTACTCTAACTGAGCTACGAGCATTTGAAATTTTAAAGACCATTTAAAAAGAAACCGCTTTCTTGAATTAGTTGTTCCAATATTATGTTCTGCTGATAATATTATTATTAATTTATATATTATTATATTAAAATAATTTTAATATTATTATTAAAAAGATGGCTGCGAATCTTATGTATAGTGACAGTAAACTAGCAATGAGCAGATCAAATCAGAAAATTCTCCTAGGGATGTATAGCGAGTTTCATAAAAGACTGATACTCCTTGAAAATTCCACTTTATATTTTGAGCATTATACACATCATCAGGCTGTCATATTACATTTTGGCAAAACAAGATTTGTTTTGACGTCCAATATGGGATCTAAAGGCAAGTTTATGCAAATATTTTGGGTAATAAGAATTAATACGCATATTTTTATGAGTTGAATGTGGATATCGAATGGTTCAGTTTAGCTGTTTCGCCAACTGTTTTAGCCAAAGGTGTAAGAGGTTGTACTTTTTGGAAGACTAGAAGATCTTCATCCGAAAACCCAGAGGTTGAGGAAACGGTAGGGCACACATTGTGCAGTTGCAGAGCAGTGGGAGCCTCAGATTTGAGGATGTGAGCAAAATACCCCCTCACAGTACTGCGCACTTTCCACGAGGGTAGAATGAAGATCATTTTAATTTTAACGTAAATGATTTTTCATTATTATATTCATTATTTATTTATTATTATAATTTTCATTATTTTCGTTGTTATTGTACATATTGCTCTCGTAACATTTTTACTAAATTTTAAGCGTTTCTGGAATTAATGACACTATAATAATATATAATAGTATATGCAACAAGTTCGGTAAACGGCATTTGACTCACGAGTTTATTTGGCGCGAGCGGAGCGAGTGTTTAATAAATGGGTGACTGAAAAGTTTACCGAACGTGTTGCATACTATACTTTTTCTATACTTTTTGGGTACATTTTCGCAATACAACAGGAATACATTCACTGACATGGCCGTCAAAAAATATCTCCGAAAATATCTGAATGCTCCCAAACCCGTGCGCTAAAATCCCGGAAATGTCCGAAGTGGCTCCGATCCGTTTGAAATGAAACTGATGTGGTAAAGTGACGCTTCCCGCACGCTAGTGTAATTAGGTATTTTACAGACGGGAGTAGAAAAATAAATTTAACTTGATCAATCTCGATAACAGGTGTCACATCAAAAACATTCCTAATATGAATAGCCAAAGCGCTGCCGCAAGCAACCCCATAGGCGTAAACTATCAATTCTATATTGATACTATATCAGTATATGATGGAAATCGTTATACATTGACTATCTTTCTAAATAATTGTGCAGGTTTAATTAAAAATGTTTATCGCTATTGTACATTCAATAATTGGTCAGGTAGGGCATTCAGTTTAATAGGTTCTAGAATAAACGAAGTAAATACCTGGAACGATGGATGTAAGAAACGCATTACATTTAAGTTTTGGTGATCAAAGAAATTTGGATTTTTTGGTACAAGGTCTAATAGATTTAACACCTATAAAAAATGAAACAGACACAATGGAAAGGCGCACGATCTTTAATTTCTTATAAATTAATTGCATTAAATTTGGAACGTATAAGAACTTTGCGAAATTACGAACAACAAATTTTATTCGAGGATTAACTGGCCAACTTCAAAATAATGTTAAGATACGTAATCCCCTGAATTTAGAAGTGATAATGGGTCCCGTTATCGAAAAAGAAAATTTCCTGTTAAACCAACTGTTCCCAACTGTCAATTAAATCGACCCTTTATGGCATAATCGTGATGGGAGTTGTCCATTAAGACGAAATATTAATGTTCCATTTCAGAAACACTCGTACGTTTCTCAAAGGCAACGTCAAATCATAAAAAATCAACTTCTAAATTTTAATCGCAAAAAATTCGTCCCTAATCAATTTCTAAACAATGAAACAATTTATTTTAAACTTTAATACCAATTAAAATTGTTCTCGGCAAAGCTGTCTAGATGAACCCATGGACACTTCGGCAGGAACTTCCAAACTCCTCTGATCAGTATTTTGAGGCAAACCCAAATCAAACAACCACCGAAAATATTTATTGTGAAAATAATACTGATCCATATAATTGCAAACATTATTTAAATACAAAGCATTACGATAAAATACCATATGAGTGCTATGAACTTCACCCAACTAAAAATAAACCTTACAATAGTCACATATTAGAAACTCAAGATTCGTCTTTCACTGGAAATGAAAATTTTATCTTGAATCCCATGCAGAATCAAGTAACATAGTAAATATTAATATAGCAGCTAATTTGCCGCAACTATTTATTCCGGAAATAAACGCTGAACTGTTAGGGGAATACAAAAATTTTATTGTTTGCAAAAATTGTTCAAAAATTTTACAAAAACTATAATTTTAGTGAAGACTTTTAGATTGAAACAGTTCATATGATTACTCATCATAATCAAGTAATTTTGATTACATTTCTAATATTTTAAAAACTCAAAAACATCATAAATTCTAGATTTTTGATTTTAGCGATAAGTTTGAAGGAATAATAGGTTTACATTACTGCATCAGTTAAAAGCAATATTAGATGTTAATATAAAACTGAAAGGAGCATTAAGCATCAAATACATTATGTTATTATTATTCTACCTAGGATAAAACAAGAGTCTGGTCGAAATTCCAGTTAAATATAAACATGGTTAGTTACTACAATAACCAACACTCGCGTTATTGAAATTTTAAATATTAACGAATGAAACTTTCATAATAATTTATTAAAAGTCAAGAACGTAAAGCCATTCGAAAATTAGCCCATTAATTGTCGTGATATATTTTATTGTGCAATTCTTTCCTTTAACTTTTATAAAACAAATTCGACATAAAATAAACGTAACCGACAATAGTCCCATTTTCACAAAGACATACCGATACCCGCAAAAACATAAAGTTGAAATTAAATCGCAAGTTAATAAAATGCTTGAACAAGGCATTATACAAGATTCAATTTCACCTTGGTCTAACCCAATCTGGATATCTGGATAGTCTCTAAAAAATTGGACGCTTCTGGTAAAAGATAGTGGCGGCTAGTAGTAGACTATAGGAAACTAAACGGTCGGACTATAAGTGACAAATACTTCCTTCCTACCTAACTAAACTAGGTAAATGTCAATATTTTTCGACCATCGATTTAGCGAACGGATTCCATTAGATCGAGCTACGTCCGGACCAGTGTTGGACAAACTTTGATTTAAAAAAAATCAAAAACCATTGATTTTTTTTTATGTATTTTTTTTTTAATTTTCATAAGAATATGTATTTCCCGTTTTTTTTGTAGCAATTACAAAATATTGTAAAGCCACCGTACGCGCCTTTTACAAAAGAAATGTCTGTCGCGACCTGTTTTTTTCCTGATCTATAAATTGTCGTTGTCTAATACGTCTCACGTATTTAGTTGGTGATTTGTCGAAGGAGTGGAACTAGTGGAAAATTTAAATTTAAATGGCTGGAAGAAAAGAAAATAGCACATAGCCGTTTTACATTAAAGCAACAGATCCCAATAAATCTGGACATTGTTAATGTACATCATTGTTATTTTAACGATATAATTTGTTCTGTATAAGTTTTCCTGCAAATCCTGCCAAATTCCACCGAGAAAAGTTCAAGAATGTCAACGCCAAGAACTTCCAGAACCTATTAGTATTCTTCCCTAAAATTGCTAGTTCCCGGATCCTGGATCCTTGTAATTTGAATCTGCAATGATGATCCCTTCACATGCAGGCTGCTGAATCGACGCTTTCAACGATAAGATTTTATTATCTGTGCGCTTTTAACAATTAATCTGCGCTCTTTATGCCACAAATCTCTCTACGCAACACAATAAAGTTCCAAATTTCGAAATTTTATGTTTTTAAAAAGTGCGTTGCCAAAATCAAACTCAAAATTGATGGACCGCAGTGTAAACCAGCCATAGCTAGGAATAAATATTTTTCTCTAAACTTGATTATTGAAAAAAAGTCTTTATACTTCATCGCACCAATCAGTGGAAAAGGATCGAAAACAAAACAAACAAAACAACAAAAACGTAGTCTTACGTGGTGGAAAAAAGAGTTTGTTTCAGTTCTCTTTTTGTTCTTTTGTGTTCCATAAAACACAAACAAGACATAAACCTCACTTTCCGTTTAGTGGAAAACCGACAACAGGGGTACTACATATACTATAGAGAAACAAAATAAAATTCGCTCAGTAAATGTAATATATGAATTACATATATTTTTCCTCTAAGCAGTTGCTTCCCATAACGGCCAAATTGTATTCTTCAAAATAATTTGTAGCTATAGTCGTGAAAATAATGATATTGAGCCAAATGTTGTACCTTGGTAAAATGTCACTCATGCGTGAGATACATATCAATTGCTGCATAAAAATTTGTGATGTGGCGGAGAATCGATCAAACACGATCATAAAAATCAATATTTTTTGTGGAGGTGGGGGGTATCAAAATGCAAATATATAACGGTGCGTTTTATCGAAATGAACGTAGTATACAATTTTTACTTGACGAAAAATTTCCGATTCCCAGTTGCCATATCAATATTTGTTTGGGCCATAGATAAATAACAATTTCGAGAACTTGACTTTAACACCCACCCAAATGAGCTACATTTTACTAAGTCATATTTGGTCTCATCAATATTTTTACGAGTTTAAATTAGAATTGCGTTTTGGAACATTCATTACGAACCACCCTGTATCATAAATACTGTTAGAGAATACAATTAATTTCATACAATTACACAGTCTAAAGTCATTACTAATTTGCATTTAAACATGTCGCTAACAATGGTCTTTTATTCTATGTTTCGTATGACGTTTTAAATTTGAAATTCTTACCCCAAGCTCGGTCCGCTCTTCCAACAAAATCTCGATGCTTTTGTTCATGGCGTTCGCCGATTGCGTTAAAACGTTACTCTACTCTTCGCCATTCGCAACTATTTCGCAAAACCGATCGGACCATATCATTTCTTTTTTATTACCGGCACATATATTGTCGATAATAAACACGTTTCACTTTTGTCAAATAACCGTGTTTTATTTCGTTTTTCGCCACACTGAAAACGCAAAAATTACTGACGTCGGGTTAAAATTATTATATATAGACATCCTTGAAACGAATTTGTTGTTAAAGGTATTGCGTCTATCTACATACGCGGTGCTAATAGTTTCCGGTAAGCGAGTCGTGTTTTATTAAATAACAACTATTTTGTGACGAACAGATTGAAAATATTTTTCACGCCATAAGTTGCACGGAAATCTACAGGGTGTTCCACTGGTAACTTCGTCGATCTGGTATGGGAAAACTATGACATTTTGGAAAATTGTAATTAAACTAATGTTGGTAGGGGCAATTCGGCTAAAATATTTTCAAGATGGCGGCACATCCGGATATTCCGAAAGTGGACGTCAACTTACTTATATTAAATAGGCGAAATTTATGTACTCACTTCCGGTATATCAGGACATGTCGCCATTTTGAAAAAAATTTAGTCGGATTGCCCTTATCAACATTAGTTTAAATTGAAATTTTCAATTTTTTTCTACTTATAGTTTGCGCATAACAGATCGACGAATTTCCTTGTGGAACACCACATATAGTCTTGGTAAATAACAACAGGCTGTGTCACTACTGCTAGAAACAGTTTCAGTTAAGCTCTGAAGAAGTCAACAGAATGATTTGGCGAAACGTTAGCAAGTTCGACTCAAGTTTTGTAAAAAGTATTACTGTAGCCTGTGGAAGGTTAACTGAAAAATTAACAGGCTGTGTCGTATACCTAATACCTATATACTAAATATATACAAAAATTACAAACGGATGGAAATATTTATCAACTCAGTGCACATAAGAAGATCAAACAAAGGTAGATATTTCCGTTGGAAGTTTTCGCTACGCTCCGCTCTGGTCAAAACAATTCATGTCACTCATCAAACTTGTTGCATAATATACTATTATTGCACAGCCACTGATATCAGCCCACACTTGGTCGACATCTACCTGAATCGCCCCTGTCTTATGCTTAGATATGAATAAATCATTGGTTGTTGGGTTTACCCAGTAACGATAGGTATGAAGGTAATTACTTTTTGGGGTAAGTTCCGTCAAAATCCAAGTCGATATAGTTTGAGACACATCATACTATAATAGTTTTGAAGAAACAATAGTTATTTGTGCAACTAATGTGCACGAAGCATGTAACGGTGCGTACTGCAACTAGTCTACATTTTGCGCAGCTTGTATACAACAATTTTTGTACGATTGAGTAAAATGTAAGCTTTTAACAACAAAATAATACTGCCACCTGATAAGCAAACACCAATTGTACTTTTATACAACTATTGACTTTCGGGTAAAAGTATTTTTTGCAATTGTCACTGTCCGATCAAACTTGCAATGAATGGAATATCAAGGAAGACTGGTACTGTAAAAATGCGAAAATTATTAACTTTTTCACTGCAGTTCAGCAGTTCACGATAAATTTTCAAAATATTGATTAATGTTTCCGTGTCAAGTTATATTCCAATAACCATAGCCCATTTTTTTGTAACATCTTTCGACATCCAGATATATCTAAGAAATATACAGGGCACTATTTATAAATCTTCTGGCTGCTTCCTGTGTCGGTTGCTTATTAATCGAGCTTGCCGACGCTTCGCCAATCATCCTGTTGACTTCTTCAGAGCTTCACTGAAACTGGCATTCTACTCTGTACCTGCTTATATATTGTTTGTATTGATGGAGCTTAACATTGTTTCAGATGACTGATTCCTATATTGGTGAAACGTAAAGACCCGAGTCGCGGTTAAGATTATTTGGTTGCTTGCAGACTTCTATAGAAAATCAGACCTAACATTGGGTCATTCTGTTTACAGAAAACCTACGCACGATACCTTAATGCATTGTCACTTCACCATCCGGCCCAAAAATTATCGGTTACCAACTCTTTTGTTTGCAGAGCCCTAAAACTATCTCAGCCCGAGTCACTGAACCCAGAATTAAAACACCTTACATCTGCTCTTCTCTATAATAATTTTCAGATTAGTTTGACACGATCTGGCTAGTAGCTTATTAGAGCGGAGCTGAATTGGAATTTGTAGAATACTTCTTAATCAATACAAGTAAAATGTAAGAGAGAACACAAATATATATTATCTATAGTTAAAGAACAATGTATATCACAAATTTATAATAGTTGTTCACATTTGGAATGGTTTGGTTAATATGTCGTTGGCCTGTTCCAGATGGACTTGTGCGAACCCAACCGCTGGTGTTGCTGATGCTGGTCTTCCGCAAAATTTAATCTTGAAATTATAAATCGTATTGATGAGTTTTCTTTAAAAATACTTTGCTACCAATTTTCTCATCATAAGAAAGATAGTCTGTACTTATGTTTTGTTGTAAAATTTTTATAAACAATTTGAAGCGAAATGTTGTTTTTGCGTTTTGCACAAAAAATGTGTCAGGAAAAGAAACAAAATGAAATGAATCTGGAAAATTCAGTTTTTTTTTCATTATTTCCGTTGTAGTGCAGAGTTCATTTTATTGTTTATTTTCTTCAATTTTTTGGGTGTTTTCCGCACGCTCGTAGAAAAAAATCCGTTCCTAACTCTTGAGAAAAGCGTAATTTTTTGTGCTTAATTGCTTGTTAGGAAATACAATTTACAGAAAATTGGTATTCTGCTAAATTTATCCCAGCCAAATGTCGCTCATCAGTGAGATACAGGGTGTTAATGTTAAGTTTACGAAATTTTTATTTGATTATTGCTCATGCTTTCTATGAAATGTCGACACGAAAACTTGGATTCGGGGGTTTTATGACATATGTCGAGGATGGTAATGTCGCTATTAAATCTCACAACTTGTTTGTTAGTAGTTAGTTCTTTTACCTTTTTTGGAAGATTATATTTCGTCCTCGTTTCGTAAATAAGAACACCGTAGTTCCCCTGTAACATACCGTCCACCACGAATTTTTAAAGCAAAATATATATAGAAAGGCACACTGTGTTTATTTCAATAAAACGGTTCGTTTTCGAGAAATTTTCCATTTTAACACAGTCACTTCCACAAAAAATGGTGTTCGAATTTCCAATTTTTTGAGTTTGATGCGATTTGACTTGGAATAAAATATTACAATGGAAACATCTTCAAAAAGATGTGCTTTATCGAAATAAATGTAGAATACGTTTTTCCTTTTTTATTCGCCAGAATATAAGTTTCGGGATCTCCAATAAAAAATCGAGTTATAGAGAAGTAACAAGATCTAATTTTACACCCTGTACCATATTATGTAAAAAAATAATAGAAATTTTGCGTGTTTTCATATTTTCTCGATTCCTAATTCACTTCTACAATCACTTTTTAACACCATTATGAGTATACCTCAATTATTTTTATTTGTAAAAAACGAAAAAACGAATTTTTATAATAAATTTAAGATTAAAAGTTGCAGTTTCAAAATAAGTAAAAAAAAATACCAACGGACTATCTTTCTTGTGGTGGTATAATCTGAATCCGAGTAGCACTTTTGTCATACAAAGTTTGTATATCTTATTATTTAAAAGATACACCACTGGAAATCTTACCGGTTTGCCGATCAAGTTCTCGAACCGTCTTTTCACAAAACTCCATGCGCCCATGTTTTGTGGTTCCTCTTGGCACCAGAGTATATCTAAAGGAATAATTATGGTAAACACAAAGAAGTCAAATATATTGCAGGCCAGGTCACCGTGACTTGCATAGATCTAGTACAGAATAACTAGATATACCAAACATGGTTGGCAAATCGTCCTCGATGGTGAAATAAAACTACATGATAATGATGTGAAGAGTCATATTTGGCTCAGTATCATTGTTTTCATGAGTACAATTTAGGATTGCTTGTATATAAGGAATATTAGTGATAAAGAATGCATGTCAAAGCGATAGCCTGCCTAATTATGCTAGCTATATATTAGTCTTAATTCTATTGTGAAATATTGTTTAATATACAAAAATATTACATCAATATTAATATATTATTAATATTAATACATTTAAAAAAAGCACATACCTAAAGATTAAAAAAATAAGGCCCCAGAAAATTTTTAAAAAATGCTTGGAAACTGACATGAGAGTTTAATTCACAGCTCTCTCGAAAGTGACTACTTGAACCGAGCATAGAGATGTAAAGATCTTGCGTAAGCCGATAATACAGGAACTTATGAAGCAACTATGAAAAAAACTTTGAGAAGGTTAATTTAACATGCGCAGTCTCGTTTTAAACCAATGACCTTGAGACATTCAACAACCAACATGGCCGCTGGCAGATGATCAATAAGTCGGTGCAGCATTTTTAGGGCAGTATTTTCTCAATATATGCCAAGATTACGTTAATTATTCTGGGAAAACGAGTTAAGTGTGAGGAAATCGCTATTTCGAAAGAAAATGGGGCAAGTGCAGGTTAGTGGGCGTACACGCATATACGAAAATTATATAGCTATATGGAACCAATACATCCTATGTCACAAGGTTGCACAACGCTAAAGTATGAATCATCACGTTAAGGGACACAAATATTTGATTGAATGGAGTTCATAATATCAAATATAAAGATAAAAATATATGTTTTAATCATTAATTTATATTATTTTAAAGTTTAAAATATAGTACATATATGTAAAAAAGTTCTAGAAATTTAGAGGTGGTTTTATTTAACTTTTTTTAAAAAGAATCATGATTTTGTGCGAGGGATCAAATTTTCAGTGTTCAGGCACTAGTCTAGTCACTTCAGTGTTTTTTGTTAAGCAGATTTATATTAGTTATTTTGATTGCAAATTTTATGGCTGTTTCATCGGAACTTGTAATGTTAGTAATTTCCACTTCTAGCTTCATTCTTATCATTCCTCGTAGACTTCGGAACACAGCAATTGTTTACCGTAATTATATAAAAATACACCAAACACAAGGCTTTGTGAACACAGATATTTTGATCGCGCATACTAATACTAAGATTTGTAATAACGGCTAAACTATTAACATTTTTGGCGAATACGGTTTCTTTAAATTTGTCGCTTTTTTAGTATATCTGTTATCGTGTATATTTTTCTAAATAATGAAAAATGACTCAAACATATAACCTTAAAAGCGAGCGACATTGATCCTCCCTTTTCGTGATGCCTCACTGATTGTTTACAGTATGTTCTGTCGTTTTTCACTTAAATTGTCTGCTGCATTTAGTGTGCTAATTAGTAGAGACTTTTTGGCAATACAAATTTCATGGATTTAGAATATTTTATAATTTTTGGCTGATAATTGCTGGGTAGCGTCCTTTAAAGAAATTAGAATATTTTGTTAGATACGGCATATATCAGATATAGGTTTTTGTTTTGTTGTTTTGTTTGTTTTTTTGAACATGGGACGGTCGGTTAATATACGATTACTATTCGGGGTATTTGTTATATGTTTACAAATAAGCAACTTCATTTTACACATAAAAAATAGGTACTAGAGGTTAAGTAAACGATATGGACATAAAAAAAGAAGTGCCGCAGTTAAAAACCAACAAACCCTTAATAACCTGCATCGGTGGTGGTGCGTTTTGCACGATTTTCCAAAATGTTGATGGAAATTACCTTTTAAATGGTTGTACTTCAGAACCTCTTGCAAAAGTTCTGCTGTAGGAAAAGGGCAATACGACTCCAATCTGATGATGGCAACAGTTTCGCATTCCAACGACTGTTTTGCTTCCAGTAAATTGTAATAATGTTTTCCGGAAGTGATCAATAACCGTCTCGCGCTAGATGGTTCGCATGAAGTATCCCCTAAAATTCACGACGGCATTTCAACAAGCGTTTTTATTAGATATGTTGGCAGGCATGTAAAATTTTCTATCATAGAAACAAAGAAAGTGAAGTCCCTAGCTTATAACACACTCTCTATAACAACACGATCAGAGGAGAATTAATGAATGATTCACAATTCGAAGGGAGTTTATTTTACTAAATGCAATGAAATGTTAAACGGTACTAGAACGTTATTTACAATAAATTTAAATTAATTTTAACAATATTCGTTAGGTTTTAAGTTAATTTCAGTTAGGGATATCAAAACCTGTGTATTTTTTATTAACAAATTAGTAACATTAAGACCCTTCCTACCTAATACTGGTTTGAAATGCGTTCCCTTGATCATATCCTGGTAACTAGAGACGCACAGCGGCGACCTTAGCAGCGTTTTGGGGGTGAAGACTATCAACGGCTTTCTGAACTTGCGCACCATCTGCAAATAAATATTTATTTATTTATTTGACTGTTTTGCAATGGCGAGTAAAAGTACATAACACATCAGATAATCTCTAATATCTTTTATTTGTTAATTTTTGAAAGAAACTTCCACAGGCTACTGTAATACTTTTTACAAAACTTCTGGATTCCTCCTGCGTCGGTTTTTGCTGAGTCGAAAAATCCGAGAGTCTATAGAAATCTATAAACAACCTAACAATCTTAACCGCGACTCATGTCTCTACTTGTCACCAATTTGGGAATCATCCGAGACGGTGTTTATACCCCTCATTAGCGCCCCCTCAAACAATATATAAGTAGGTACAGAGTAAAATGCGAGCCAGATTCAGTCAAGCCTCGAAGAAACCAACAGGATGATTGGCGATACGTCAGCAATTTCGACCCAGCAAAAAACTACGCAGGAGGAATCCAGAATTTGTGTAAAAAGTATATTTTATTTGTATTCCCCTATAGAATAAAAACAATGTGGTCGATACTGGCGTTTCGAGATTCCAATAGGACGTTTCGGCTAGGAAGTATCACTTTCAAGTGAAAACTGAGGTCTACGATCGAAGCTACCCGCATATATACGTCATCGGTGTGGAGAACATTGACGGGCGGGGCAGGATAAGGTTCCTGGCGCGTGACTGTATTTTATTCCCCTGTTCCCAGTCTTTGTTGCATATTATGAAGGTGTTGTCCACCAACGTCTCTTGTTCTTGACGACGACACCTTCATAATATGCAGACAGCTGGAATAGAGAAAGAGAAAAACCAGGTAATACCATTCCTCAATGTCGTGTACACGAAACTCACATACAGGCCAGTACCTAAATGCATCGTCCAACAACAGAGCAACACGCAAACGAGGAATAATCCAATCACTGTACAAAAGAGCAAAAACTGTCAGTAGCAACCAAGTTCTACTTAACGATGAAGTTGAACGAACTAAAGAAGATCAGAACGGTTATTCAACGAGACTGATTGAAGATGTTATTACTCTCAATACCAAGTAGCACATAAATTAGAGTACAGTACAAACTAACCAACTAATGACCATTGCCTATGTTGCAGGAGTTTCGGAAAAGATCAAAAGAATTGCAACAAAATACAACATCAAAACTGCCTTCCGTTGTGAACAAAATATAAGAAGTTTAATAACGAAAACAAAACCAGAAAACATCACAAACAAAAAATTCCACAATTCTACAACAGGGAACCCACTGGAAGAAGAGAAAGTCCATAGAAGCTGCCTCTATCCAACGCAACAACATCTTTAGTCATCCAATCAATCTCCACTGTCACACGTCAGGAACCTTGAGCTGTCCCACCCGTTGACTAATCAACCGATGACATGACTCGTTCACCATATAAATGCTTCGATCATAGTGCTCAGTTTTCACTTTTCACGCCTAGTCATACTTTCTAGCCGAAGCGTCGTGTTAAAAACGTTTTTCGACAATGGAAGTTCGAAATGCCCGGTATTGGCCAGAATGAACCTTTAGAGAAACTTAGACAAGAAAGAATGCTTCAAAGAAAAGAAAGAAAGTTTTAAAATGGCAAATTTGTAACTTGATTTAAAATTAAGTTAGTTTTATTAAGTCAATCAGATCAATTTTTTAACTCCTTTAGTGTAAAATAAATAAGAACTAAAAGTTCAGATTTTCACGAAATTATATATTTTCATATGACAATTGTTGCGACAACACCGTATCTTTATCAAATGTCTTTTAGTGTATTTAAACTTAATAGATTGAAGCAAATTTGAGGAGGAAGTGGGTGATTATCTGAGTGAATGAATTTCTAAAATTTTGTGATATACTAATAGCCATGGAATCCTAAGTTTCTGAAATGGTCTCTATATCCCGCGTTGCATATAATTCTGATCGCCCTTTTCTGCGTACAATTTTTTTAAATTTAATGTGCTGACTTTCTCCACAGATCGAATGAGATTAGACATTCTGTTTTTATTTGGATAGGAATTCACTATCAGATTCGTCGGCCCTTACCTGTCGTCGCAGTAAGTGGAAATATTGAGCAGGTGTACTAGGGTGGCAAACCTGTAGATTCACGTCGTCTCCGTCGACAGCGTCGTCTTTGGAGTCGGTCAGCTGCAGGAAACGTTCGATCCGTGCCGAACTGTGTTCCGGTCCTGCTCCGTCGTATCCGTGTGGTAGGAGAACGGTCAAGGCGCTTTGCCACAACCACTTTGCTAATGGAAAAACAAAATTAAATCAAATACGGTAGTTTAATATGTTCCATGTTGGCCGGCATTTGTTAATACCATATTATGCAAATAAATTTGAGCTACGTGTTTATTTGTCACGAGGGGAGCGCGTGCTTTATAAACGAGTGACTTAAAAATATTACCAAATATGTTGCATATTCTACTTTTTCTACTACCGTGAGTTATTGCGTACATTTTTGCAAAACATGAGGAATACATTCACAAAGTGACATGCCTGTCAAAATTGATAACCATCAAAATTCAAGCCAAATTCTAGTAATGGGTAAACATCCGTTCGGTCCGAAACTTATGGGTAATATCTCGGAAATATCCGAAGCGGCTCGCAGCCGTAGGTAACGAAAGTGACGTAAAATTACACTTTCCGCACCCTCGATAAGTGTACCATTGGGTATTTTAGAGAACGGAGTAGAAGTGGTTTGTTTATAAGTGGTGCAAGTTCGCTACGAGCCAATTTAATGTTCGTCCATGGGGGCAAATAGCGAATCAATCCTTGAAACCATATACGGCAATATTTCAGGTAGCTAATACACTTCCTCCTAATGGCTTATTAAGAATTTTAGTATGTGCTAAACGCACACCTCAGACCTACTAATTGTAGTTTCGAGAAAGGAAAGCAGCAGGTCAAGTAAAATCTCCTAAATAAAAACCAGGAAGGCTAGCAAAGATCTTTGTAATAGCATAGAGCTTTGTAATATGCGATTTGGGGAAAAGTTCAGTTTTCTCTATTTTTATGGTTTCACGGAAGGCTGGTCGACAGGGTATAAAAGAACTAACGGGAAGAAAGAACAAAATTAAAATAGACGGTATTGTTATCTGAATGATCTCGAACGGAGGAAGAATTTCACGAGGATATGAATACCAATGTTTTCGAAGATTAATTTAGCGAAATGGTGAGTGACTCAGTACTGATTATGAATACTGTCTTCATTCACGACGCATAACACAAGACCAACTTCATTTGGTAGAAAACAAGATATATTGACTGGCATGTAGCCGCAACGATATTGGATTTGAAGAAAACATGATAAAGAAAGCTATAGTGAATTTACACATCTTGGGATTGGGGAAGAATATAACGCTTCCGTAATAAATTGCATACTATTATAATTACACATTATTATAAACCGTATAAACAGGGTGTCCTATGGTTTTACGACGTATCCCCCTTATTAATAAAGCTATTCAAAAATATAAAATATAACACACAAGAACAATTTCAGATACAAAGCATATATCTTTAACTTCATTATTTTTGATGAGTAGGCCATGGAAAATACAGATTTTTTTTAATAAATTAAATAATTAATTTCTCATAATTGTTATATTTGAGTTTACATGAGACCATAGTAGAAGGAAGAGGAATAACAAAAGTTAAGATTTATATTTTGAAGTTAATTTTGAAAAGCTTATAACGAGCATAAATAAATTATTAACCGAGGGTATTCCATAAAAAAACGTAAGTTTAGTTTGTATAACAATATTTGTGAGTTTTATAAGAAAACTGACTACGTCTTTCGATTCCATGGCCAGACCAAGTTTCACCTTTTCCAGAAGATAACTTTTAAGGGAACCAAACCGAACTGTCAAAAAATGCAACATTTTGCAATAACGCTGTGTCTAATTAAATCAATCGTTGAATATGATCCTCAAAAAGGTTAACTGATAAATTGAATGTACGTCTTCCGAATTTTGAAAGCTTGCAATTATTCAAAATTAATTCAAAGAAAGCGGGAAATTACTCTATGAATGCATTAAAACAAAAGGCAGATTTAACCAGTTACCTTCTCCGCACGTAACAAACGTGTCGAAAATAATTTGGGCGCCGTTAAAGAAATCTCCAAATTGTGCCTCCCACACTATCAAATTTTTGGGACTCTCGATGCTCATTCCGTATTCGTACCCCAACACTGCCTCTTCGGACAAAATACTGTTGGCCACTTCCAAATTCGCGGTTTGTTCCGGATACAACGAATTGAGGGGAATGAACATCTGATTGGTGTTTTGGTCGACCAACATGGCGTGTCTTTGAGAAAACGTTCCTCTACCCACGTCTTGACCGCTGATCCGCACGTTGTAACCTACAGAATAGTGTGCTCTAAATTTGACTTTATTTGACATTTTGAATTTAACCGTTAATTTGTTTATTGAGATTCTATTCGCCTATACAAAAAATAAAGTACAAATGAAATAAAGTCGACGTCAAGGATTAGTTAATATAATTGACCAAAATATTCTTCAAGTCTCACTGACGTTTCCTTGGCAGCGTTCTTAAAAATTCAGTTATCGGAATTTTGTGATTAATATATATTGCATACTTGCACAAGAGTTCTTATTCTTTACTTATTTCATTGATCTCATGGTCCCCTTTTGTATAATTAAATCTACTACCCCAAAATATTATGCTATATCGTACAACATATTCAAAATTAGCAAAATAGACAATACTTACTGTGTTTAATTTTGTACATACAGTTTGAATATGAGGGTCCCAGTCGAGATATTCAATAATGTGAATTCCCAAGAAATTTGTACTTGCTATAAATTCAGCACTTGTTGCTTTCGAAAATCGATGAAATCGAATTTTCGAAAGTATCTGCGCCCGTATAAAAATGTTATATCTCGGTAACGGTAAGTCCTACGCGATCGAAAATTTTTTTTTGTCTGTCCGTTCTCCGTGCTCGTCTTTTGGTTTTTCCTCAATAAATTTCGAACCATTGGAGTTACAAAATTGAAATTTGTCTCCCTTTTAACCCTCCATGAGGCACATAAGCTTATAAGAAATGGCCCTGATCCGACGAAGGTATCCATCTTTTTTTCGCGATTTTCGACTTTTTTGGACCTTGTTATGGAACACGATAAGTGTCCCAAATTTGAAGCGACTTCATATTTGGCACATATATGTAGATTTGCCCCCTGACGGAGCCTATTGAAAATGGGGGGGCTGGTGTGGTCGGGAAGTATTTTAAAAAAATTAAAAATCGCGTGTGCAAGGGTCTACAAAAAAGACCATTTTTCAAAAACTGTTTAAGAGACCAAAAAAATTCTTGAACCAGAAGACGCAGAGGAAATAACTCGACAAACTTTTATTCTTGACAATTTTTCAAAAATAGACAGGGTGCGCCGCAAATTAAAAAAAATGAAAAATGGGTCCTCCCTGTTATTGAAAATTGGCAATAATTTCAAATCTGTGTTTTAGATGTTACTTTCTTATACATGAAGATATAGCCCATAAAGACAGCTTAGACTTTTGTATTTAAGGTTTTTAAGTATTTTACAGGGTGTTCACGATATTCCGTGCAATATTAAGAAACATAATAAGTATTCCAAATCTGCAACTATCGACTTCAGACTTGGGAGAGAAGTAGAAGTCTGGACCCGCATTTAGACTCTTTAAATTGGGAGCAATAAAATTGCGCGAAGTATTTTAAATTAATTTTTGAATTTTTTTTGTGGTTATTTTGGCATATTTTCCTCCAAAGCCATTCATCCGATCGGAAAAATTTTACATCCGTAATACGTGGGAGACCCGGCGCTATAGCTTTTGTTTCACGCATTTTTTTTATTATATACAAGGTGTTTTAGTTATGGACAAAAATCTAAAAGACCCCGAAAATTGTTCTTTTAGAGAGTAAATTATTAACCGTAAATCAAAATTCGTACAAACAATAGCTAATCAGTTCAAACAGGGCTACAATTTGTGTATTTACGGTTTTCGTCTATCACATACGCTCTTCGAGATATTTGAAAAAATCCAAACAAAAATCACCATTTCTCGCCCTCAATCTAGATGTGATGAAGTCATTTCATATTACCACTTATCGCATGGTTTTAGAAAACAAGTATTTCTTTGAAAACCATTTACTCGATTGGGAAAATTCGGATATCAGGAAACAAAGGAGATCCAGGGCTAAATCCTCTATTTCGAACATTGTTGGAATTATATACAGGATACGTCGTTTGTGGGCAAAAAATTCTAATAGATCCTAGAAATCTCCGCTTTTGTAGGTGAATAGGTAAACCGTGTCTAGAAAGAGTTTAAGGTTTCGTCTATAGTACACGGTGCGTGAGATATTTGAAAAAATATAATTTTAAATTGCAATTACCATAACAAATTTTAATATTTACTCACTTTTGGCGTAACTTTGAAGTTCGACGAGATTTCAAGGACACGTTATACAGGGTGTATTCACAATATTAAAACATCGATATTGCAAAAGTTCCGTAGTGGTCCGCAGGAGCACGATAGAAAAACAATGCGTCACAAGAATAAGTAAAGCGCCTTCTTTTTAAAATAAAAAGCTGATTGGCGCTACTTGCGACGAACTTGCCCCGCCCAGCAATGATTTTTCGAAAGCAATCTTGTTTTATTTAGTTCTATGTAATCAGTATGCGTTGACCTTGTTTTGTTGGCTATAATATCATGTTTGTTGTTTTACTACTAGTCACTATTAGTTTCTTTTACCAATTTTATTTCCTCAAATGCATTTTCGGTTTCATTTTTTACCTCTTCTCTTCTCTTAATTAAAAAATGAATGAGATTATTCTCTGCAAATTTCCAGTTTCATAACTTTTGCTATTTTTTGGGCAATGACATGCTGCTTTCTAGTCTTGCTAGTTGATCTATATTTTTAAGCAGGCACAAAGTTAGAAAACAATTGACATATGTTGATAAATTCAATTATTCTGGAACAAAGTTACAAACGGCTTAGAGAAACTGGCCAAAAGATTAATTGGTCTTTTTTATTTAGAGCTAATTTGAACTGCTCTGGAAAGACAGCTTGCTTCATGGAACTATTTACTAACTAGCACAAAGGTTGTGATATTTCTGGTATCAATAATTTCTCTATAGCATTATGTGTGACAGGGACAAGGGAACTATATGAAGAGTTAATTTTAATCCTAGAAAGTACATGAGTGAATAAAAGTAAATACGTTATTAAAACTCAAACATTTTCATATAGTTAGGTGAAATAAAAAAAATAAATTTGAACTTAATTGCTTTTTATTTGAAAACCTTAGATTTAGGTATAGGAAAATGATTTTAATTATGTATTAGAGTACTGGATATTCTACATTTGAAAAGTGTAACTTTTTCATTGATTTCTTAAGCACCCTGTAAATCATAGCAAGCACTAGTCTACAGGAAACTGCAGGATGTTACCAAACTGCTGCCATAATTTCAGTGTTCTAAGCAGTGAAGAATATAAATTGTGGTCTATTTCAGTCGAAAAATATAGAAATAGCAGCGGAACGGAAAATTTATATAGCTTGTTTTATTTAAAAAAATAGAGTTGTGGCTACTTTTTTATAGAAGGGCCAACACGGCGAAGCTGAAAATATCTTATATCGATAGAACACCGTCAAAATACCTTAACTGACAAAATTTTCAACAAATTTCCATTTCCCGGTTTCGCAATACGTCCAATATTCTATCGACTATAGATCCCTGAATACTTTTTGCCCTTGGTAATATATTTCAAACGAAATTTTTTTTGGGTTCACTTTCGGATTTACGCTGTGTAACTTATCTAATTTCACGGTCGCATTTGAAAAACCTGAACGATTTTATTTTTGGGCTACTCACACTAGCACCAGAAATATCTATAGTATTGTTTTTGAGTGTACCTGTTAATTGATAATTGTATTTTTTTTGACACGATATTGTAAAACACACTGTTGCATTATTAACTAACCTTCGAAGAGTAGACAGCCGATTGCCAGCGCTTCCGACGTGGACCAATCGATGTTCATCCCTTCCGCTACTCTCGACAGTCTATTTTTGACGTGTCTAGTTAGGGTGGGGTGAACTGTCTAAAATGTGAATAGTTACAATATTTCAACAAGAGTTCTAACGAACGCATACAAAGTCTTCAGGTACCGCTACTGATTTTTCTCCTACGAACGCCAGCAGTTCTGTGTCGACGCCCGTGTCCCAGGTGGTTATCGCGTTTTCCGGCTGGCTGATGCCGGCCCATTGGTGTTGAAAGTACACGTCCTGCACAAAATGTCAACAGTGAATGAATGTCAATTTTACTTTCTTAACTTGCACGCTACAACGTATACAGGATGTTCTTTAATGATGTGTAAAGTGTCGACAACATACAACCCAACTAATATTTTTCGCAGTTTAAGCTTTTATTATAACGCATCGGATATGTATAAGCCTTTATAGTTAAGAAAATCAGTACAGTTATAAATTTTGTAAGACGTCCTATAAATATCAGGACACACAAGTTTTATAATATTGGTTGGTTGCTTATAGGAAAGGATTCCGTCACTTTATCTGGTGTTGCTTACTTCACGTTTTTTTTAAAGGTTCTTTAATATTCTTAGAGAAGCTATCTTAACACTTATAATCTTCAGGTTATATAGCTTACTTCGTACGACCCTTATTAATTTAAAGCACCTAATAAATCTTCTACAGCTACCATGAAACCATGCGCTTGTAGCACAATCAAAGACGCTGTTTTTCGAAATTTGTCGTTATTTGCACAATTGTAGTTTAATTATAAACTTTATCCAGATATTTATAAAAAACGAAGGACATTTCTATAAAGAGAAAATGAATAATAACTATGATGTAATGATTTCAAAATTGATATTTGACATATGCGCACTAATAGTTTTCAATTTGTTTTCCGATTACTTTTAGTTTTGTGCCAGTTACAAAGAGTTTTATAAATACCTTTTTAGTAGCTCTGAGTAATTCTAAAATAATCTTAGGTTTTATTGCAAGAGAAATATTGTTATAAGTTTTGTAAACGTTTCCAAATTGTTTAATATTACTTGAAAGCCCACATACAATTGTAAGTTTTATAAAGGAAACTGGTGTACATGATTTGATTTTATGTGACGGTCATTGTTATGTTTTTCGAATTGACATAAATGCTCTCTTAAAAAAGCAAGGGTATTCCTAAAACATATAAAAATAAATAAAAAATAATAGACACAATTTTAACTTGCAGGTTTTTACCAAAATTACCTTTTAAGGTGCTTAAAATGAGGGCGTTTCAGTTTTGGGAATGGTAAAATATAAAATTATTATATATTACAATTTTTATTAAGACATTTTCATACATGCTGTCAATTTTAGAGTAACATCAAAATATAATGACATGGGCATGAAATAAAATTATTGCAAACAAATGAAGGTGAAATGAAAAGGGTTGTTTGTTCGGCATTTTTTGTTTGGTAAGTAACTTTCATTGCAGAAAAAATATGTAGTCCTTGCCATTATAAAACTTACCTATGGTAGAAAAAGTTTTATATGAGACTAAAAGTTGGCCACCGTTATTGTGATGAGATTTACGTGCTATAGGGGTTTTAAAAAGTAACGATAGGTTTTATAAAATAGGTAGTGTAAATGTAACCGTTACTATTACAAAAAAAGAAGTTAGAAATCATGATTCGCAATTGGTTAAATTTGGACATTCAAAATAAGTATATTTTTTTTGCTTTTATACAGTAAAAAAATCTATTTCCATTTTTAAATGGACTATTTAATTAACAGTTACACTTTCAAACACTTAATACGTTACACCATTTATGTAACTGTAAAAACAAACTTTCACTTTTTATCCTTGCATAGGGTGGCACATGCAAACAATATCAAAACAACTTAAAGCCGAGAATTTGTTTGGATTCCCTGTATATTAAGATAGTGCTCTGTGTTGATATTTTACAAATAGATAAAAACAAAGTGATTAAAAACTAACATTAAAAATTGAAAAAATAGTCAAAAGGCTTTTTTTTTCAAATGGAAACAACCAATTTTTATAATTTAAAAAGTTGGATATTCCAAAATATTAGAATACATTGTAAAAATATCGTGACGACGAAATATGGCGAAAAAAAAACAATCCTGTTTTACACAAACATCACTATCACTATTTTGGTTTTTTCTAAGTTTGGCAATGAATGTTTGACAATTTTATGCCACCTAACTTTTCAATTTTAATTGTTGTGATTATACTGCTAACAGTAAAAAAAAACAAATTAATAAAATTATAAAAATGACGTGTTTCCATTTTAAAAAAATGTATTTTAACGATTTCAAAATCATAATATTTGATTTTTGACTCCCCGTAATTTTTAAATATAATCTATAGAAATCAATCCCGAATATATAATAAAATCTTTCAGAGCGAAAAATCGATAGATATTTTTAAGCCTGCACACCTCACTTTTAAATGTATACGTTAGCATATATGAAATGTGTCCACAAAGTTTAGAGAAATTCAAAAAGTACAGGGTTACTGTTACTATAGTTTTACTTATTATTATTTAAAATATGAAAGTTGTAATTTGTTACTTATCAACACCCTCTATACATAGCAATATAATATTTTTAAAATTATAAGGGAATCCAAACCACTTTTTTTTTCTTTTTTTCATCTTCTAATAAATGGGCCATCCCGTACGAAACATCACCAAGTGAATTTTTTTTTCATCCAATCATAGCTCGTTTTGTTATATAGAATTGCATTCTTCCATAAGCGTTTGGAACTCACCTCTGGTTGATAATCCTCGATGGCCTGCAACTCCTCGTTTAACCATTCGAAACGTTCTTCGTAAATTTCTTGGCATTGTTGCTCGCTCAACACACCTTCCTCGATAATTTTGGCCGCATACGAATCCGGTACGGTCCTGCACATAGTTTACATTAGTTAAAATAAAACACCGGATGTGCTGAGTTTACGGCACCGCATGGCATTGATGACCTTGTACAGGGCCGGGTTGGTAAAGGTGGGATCATCCATTTCGTTGTGACCCCACCGTCTGTAACAGTTCATATCGACGAAGATGTCCTTTTTATAGCGTCTTTGATAGTCAAACGCCAATTTCGTTATTTTGTAAACTTCCTGGATTCCGAATTGGACATTTCAAAAACATTTTTATTTAATATTTCAGTTGTAGGCTCATATAAAAAAGAGCAGAGAAATAAAATGGGAAATTCGTTTCGCTCAATTAGGCATGTGTCATTCTTAAACAATCGTGCAATGGTATTAACACCAAATGTTATAAAAGTCCTAAAATTTCCATAAAATTTTTGTGCTATTTGTGCAGCATGTAAATAAAAGAAAAATATATTTAATCAGTTAATAATTGAGATGAATACTTGAAGAAAACCACATGATGCTCAAAAAAAATAAGGCAATGCATTGACTTAGACAGACACCTGAAGAGAATTCCTACAGAATGTGACAAAATATTCAGCATTAATTTCATTTATGACCACAGTTATTCGATTGTCAACTTTATGTTATGTACCAAATTTATTAATCCCTATACGCAAATGCTATACCTCGGGATAATTTCCATTGACGTGTATGACGGGGGCGGCAATAACTTTCGCCAAGTCCGTACAATACCTGGATGACCTACCCCTATCCCCGGGGGTTGTGTAGCCGACCTGGTTGTTAACCACCAAATGTACAGTGCCGCCGATGTTAAAGTTAGGAGCTCCGCTTAGTGTGAGACACTCTTGGTTTACTCCTTGCCCGATAATAGCTGCGTCGCCGTGAACCTAAAATTAAATCCGATTTAGGGGAACCCGTTTTTACGGAAAATGGAAAATGAGAATGTTTGCAAAAAGTACACAAAGGCAAATGTACCCCAATTCCTTTGAAGGGATCCCTCACGCAAAATGTACCATGTTGTAGTCCTTGACATTCTCAACAAATGTCTAAATTCGATGATATCAAGATATCGGTGCTCAAAGTTGTATAAACGGGAATTTTAATAATAAACAACTTTACTTTTTTGTCCAAACTGTTATTTAAGTATTTTGCTTATTGTATGGTCTTTTAAATGTGAAGTTCATTTATTATAAAGGGTGCACCAAAATATTTATATAGAGGTTTATTTTATTCCAATTCAAAAGTATGCCAAATTATCGCACCTCATTTTGAACCGATTGTCTTTTTTCCAGAGTATTTTTGTAATTGTTATAAACTAAATTAAATAGAATACGCATTAGAAACAACCGTAGTTATCGATTTTACCTTATAATTAAATAAAACAAGACTTACTTCATAATTGCAGTATATTTCCCAGACATATTATAAAAGATTATTTTTGTTGTAAATGTTGTTGAAACCGAAATATATAAGTTTTAAAGTTAAATAAAAAAATCAAAAATTATATTGATACTTTAACACCCTGTAACTTTTTATGGTTTTTAGTTTCTATAATCCAGAAATTTGAATTATCCTGTATTGTAAACCGGTACCCGTCTAACCACACATACTTCGTAGTTTTGTGACCATTAAAACACCGTTACCGTCCAAACAATGTATTGTGTCATTTTTCTTTGGCTATCGATATATATAAAAATGTCGGAGTTTTGTGAAAATCTGGTCTCTTCAAGATAGAGAACAGAATAAACTGAAGTGCGATAATTTTGAATCCTTTTGAATTGTAATAAAAAAAACTTCTATATAAATATTTCAGTTCCCTCTTTATAAAGAATGAATTTCATATTTAAAGGACCATACAATAAACAAAATTATCACACAACGAATGTTTCAAGAAAATCGTACGCCTTAAAAATACCTACAAAATAAATCCACCATCCATTGCGCACATACTGACTCTCGAAACAGTTTTTTTATATTAATACATCATCATCACCATCACGTTTCAAATAAAAAATTTAAAAATTTCATAACCTATTAACAAACAACATGTTCTGCTATTGTAGATTAACATTTTAAAGATAGTCATTTTAGCCGCCTTACGTAACTTGTTATAATTTTGTTATAATTTTCAAATTTATTGCAAAGAAAAAACGGTTTAAAAATGATGCAAACTACAAGTTTTTCAACAAAGGCAACGAAGGAATGAAGGGTGGACGGACATTTGTGAGTGTATATTTTACCTGGATATTTAATATCTTGTCTCCAAATTCGTTTAAATTCCCATAATCGCCGTACCTACTGATCAGATTTTTGGCGCGCGTTTTGCCCATCGACACGGGATTGACCGCTTCCAAATGTGAAGGGTTGTACAACAGCGACACGTGGACAGATTTATCGCCAAATTTGAGATCGACAGAAGAAACTAAACAATACCAAAAAATATCCTTCAAATCCGAAACTGTACCTTTTTTTCTACAAGGCGTTTTTTAGTCTTCGTGTTAAACTTCGCACCAAAATTAACGCAAAATTTGGATCAACTTAATGCAGTACAAACAAATACGGAATTACAGAAATTACAAAAATTTGAATTATAGAAATTATATATGTATATGTCCATGAATTGTTTTCTACATCATCCAAACAGTTTGGTCCCATAGATCTTCTATTGGCATGTGGTCTAGATAGCGTGGAGCCAAGTCCAAGGTCTCAATATTTCACTTTATTATAAAACTCCTCTTGTAATATGGCAGACTTATTCGATTGATATTAAATTTATTTTTTCAACTCCTTTCTGTAAAATACCTACCACGTCAGTTTCGTTTCAAACGGATCGGAGCCATTTCGGATATTTGCGGAATTTTTCCGCACGGGTTCGGGAGCAATCGGATGTTTTCGGAGATATTTCCCACGCCTTGAATTTTGACGTTTGTCAATTCTGACGGTCATGTTAGTGAATGTATTCGTGTTGTTTTGCGAGAATGTACAAAAAATTAACGGTCGTAGAAAAAGTATAGTATGCAATATGTACGGTAAACTTTATAAGTCACTCATTTATTAAGTTTATAAAGAGTCAAATGCCGTTTACCGCACTTGTTGCATACTATACTATTATTTAATAATTGAGATAAAAACGTGAATAAAAAAGCAAGATGCTGAGAAAAGATAGGGCTATGCATTGCATTTACACCTCAGCGCTGACAAGAATCCCCATATGAATTAGGAATTAGGAAGTCCTTGGAGGCTGTGGATTGGAATATTTGCCTTGGTTCTAACGATGTCAACTTTATGTCTTCATTTATATTGCACAAAGTTCAAGACTTGATCAAACAAAATTGTTCTGTTAACAACATTCCTCATAAAAAATCACCGGTCAACTGGTTTGATAAAGATCTAGTAGCTCTTAGAAACAGAATGTCAGTTGTTAAAACTCTCAGTAAAGTCTCACAGAACCCTCTTTATACAGAGGTGTATAAATCACTAAATAAGGAATATAAACAAAAAATTCAACAAACCAAAAATGCTGCTTTTAATGGATTTATCGAAAAATCAACCAATAAAAACAAAGATGTCTGGAAAATCGTTAACTATGAAAGAAATTGTCTTGGGAGATGTGATAAAGAATCTGATTTATCAACAAACGATCTTAACAGTTTTTTTAGTTCTGTCTCGAGTAATATTATAAAGATCTTAACGGTGAATCACAATGTACAGAGTGCATGTGTTGAAGGGATTCTACTGGAGGAAACTACTTTTTTTTTGCATCCGATAACTTGTGAGGATACGTACCGAGCCATACTAAGATTAAAAAAATCTTATTCTAGCGATGCTTATGATATCAATAGTGTCTTGGTGAAGGGACTGGTTGAGTACATTACACTGCCATTAGCCACTTTATTTAATAAATGTATTGACACAGGTGTATTTCCGTCGCTGTTTAAGATTTCGAGAGTAGTTCCAATCCATAAGGCAGGTGATATAAATGATGCTAACAACTATAGGCTGATTTCAATCGTACCTTTGTTCGGAAAAGTTTTTGAGATCTTACTAAAAGATCAGCTAACTTCTTATATTAATAAGATCGAATGTCTTTGTGCGGGTCAGTTTGGATTTAGGGGAGGGTGTTCGACGATCCAAGCAGTGTCTAAAGTTGTGAGTGGGATAGTTGAGGGCCTCGAGGGGGGTGAATTAGTTGGTTTGACCTTGAGTGATCTCTCCAGGGCCTTCGACTGTGTTCTCACCAGCTTCTTATTAAAAAGCTATACAGATATGGTATACGAGGTCTGCCCTTAGATCTTATAGCGTTCTACTTGCAGGGCCGACAGCAGTTTGTAGAATACCAGGATGACCGTTCATCACTTGAATCAGTAGTAAGTGGGGTGCCCCAGTGTTCCGTCCTGGGCCCGCTACTATTTACAATCTACATAAATGACCTTTATCATTTCTTGGCCCCCAATCAGTGCGTGATGTTTGCCGACGATACATCCTTCACTACATCTGCTAAGAGTATCGAGGAGTTGTCCGTTAGGGTTGGCATGTTGGAGGACAAGGCTAATGTCTGGTTTGAAAATAATTATCTTAAATTAAATTTAGACAAGACCCAGAGTATTGTGTTTTCCTCCAATTGCTTGGTAAATAGTGGACAGTCCGTCAAGTTGCTTGGCATTAGGATCGATGATAGTCTAAATTGGAAACAACATATCTCAGACCTGAAAAATAAATTGTCCAGCAACATATTCGTTCTTCGACGACTGAGAGGCCTGATAGGAACAAGGACTCTGCTTATGGTCTATTTTTCTTTGTTGCATTCACACTTATGCTATGGCACGGTACTGTGGGGTGATTCCTCAGCTGCTGTGGAGATTTTTAGAATGCAGAAAAGGGCCATTCGAGTCGTTGCTAATATAGGATATAGGGACCATTGTCAACCTTATTTTAAAATATTCAAAGTGTTGCCCCTTCCTTGCATCTATATCTACTACCAGTTATTAGAGATTCAGAGAACGAAAGGAAACTTTAGCGCTAATTCCGATTGCCATGCCTATTAAACTCGTTCGGGGGATCTCCTTAGACGGCCTAGGTTTAAACTGAGGAAGTCTGAGAACAACTCATTGAACCTGAAATTGTATAATGTTTTGCCAGGTACCGTGAAAAAGATGAGCAATAGAAAATTTAAACATACTATTAAAGAATTCCTACAACGTCATTGTTTTTACTCCCTGCGAGCATACATTGACACTGTCACTGGTATCGATGCGCTATAAAACTGTATAGTACTGTCTAATTTTGTTTGTATTAGATGTGTGTTTTTATATTATTTATTAATTTGATTTTATTGCACTTGAAGATCACTTCTGACTTGCTACAATTGTACGTCCCTTTTGTACGAAACATAGTCAATAAATGAATCTATCTATCTATGTATGATTTGTATGAAACTGATTTGGAGTTAGCAGTTCGCGATAAAATCAACTTCAAAGTTAATCCAATTTTTAGCGGTGAATTTTGATGCGAAATTTATAATTGTTTTCAATTGGACAGTAGGGAAACCGTTCATTAAAAGTTTACTCGGCTCTTAGTTAGAGTCAAATTTGGATTCTTACAAACCCCGATAAAATTTAAGTGGTCTTATGATACCGAATTCATCATCTTTATCTTGAACTTCTAACATCTCATTTTTATAAATGAAAAGTTAGTATACATTAAAACATTTGAATTAAAACTATTTTAAATTCTAGTGGCGATTTTGCACACAAGACAAAATTAAGACTTCAGTCCAAGAAACTTCTATAAGCCAAGTCGTACCATTTATTTTGTTACGTACAACAAAAACTTACCGAGATGGCTGAGTACATCTCCCAGAGTTCGATATTTTGAGGGGATTTCGCAATTTCCTCGAAGCTTGTAGAACATTTTTACGGGTGGGAAATTCAGCAAACCAGTCAGCACGTTTAAACGCCCCCTGTGAGGCATTGCCAATACTATTTGCTCGACGTTGTCTGAAGCACAAAACTAAATTTCCCTTTTCAAATATAAGAACTCTATATTTGTTTAAAAAAAATAAATATAAATACAAGAAAAAATTCAATGAGGCGTATTTCACAAAGAAAGACTTATTTTAATATAAAAAAACGTGTCTATGATCTTTATAATTAATTTCGGAACGCATTTGTAAAAGTGGAAAAGTTATTTCAACTTTGAATGACTTACTTCAAGATTTTCCAAAATTTTCAATGTTTAAATTCAGGACACTTCATACAACATACCGTTGGCAGCCAAATGAAAAATCCTGCTGAAAAATCCCATCATGCTCTCTGCTCCTTCGCCGCCGTATCGTTTGACGCTGGAGAATTTTTTCGCTAAGAAATGATCAAGCGCCTGAGATCTTAATAAATCCTTAACTAGGACGATTTTTTCGGCATCGTTAAGTTGTTCACTTGCCAGTTTTTCGAATTCTTCCGAGAACCATTCTCGTTCATCTTCATTCTAAAAAATGATGTACCATGCAAAATTATTACGTAATAAGTAATGGTTAAATATGAAATTGCAAAATTTTTAATGGGTTAAGTAAAGTAAAGTTATCTTAAGCATAAAGACCGCTTGAACCAGTTTTACCGACACGCATTTATTTTAAATAATCGAAAATTATTTTGCAAATGTATATGCCATATGGCAGATAATTGAACTTTATTGGACAATAAAATGCAATCAACGATTTAAAGACTGCAGGGAATAGATATAGGAAGAAAAATTACATCGCTATGTTCTTTCCTATATACTACTTCGTGTTCAAAAATCTCATTTCTATATGAAGCTTATAAATATTCTTCTAATCTGAATTTTTGATGTACCTCCAAATACAGAAATTCGGCTGATGCCTGCTCGCAGTACATACGACTTAATGAAGTTGTTGCACTTTTCACGGCTACCTCGCCCTCCGGTATTTGAACTATTCCTTTTCTCACCCAGACTGTGTCATTTTCTTCAAATCCGTATCGTTTGATGTCTAATTCTGGTGCGAATCTGGGACAAGAGGGATCATGTTAGATAACTTCCAAGTTGCAACGATGTAACAATAATTTTGATTCCCTACGCAAACGGAAATTTTGATTCGTTCAGAATTAACTGGGTTATATATTATATATGCTAAGAGTTCTCCCACAATGGTATATATGCACCGAAATTATACATGAGTAATTAAAACTAACACAAACTGTAATTCACAAATTTAAATTCTGGAACAATATTTTTCATTTTAATTAATTAACAAGAAGTAAAACGAATACACTAACTAAATTTAATTCAATGGAATACCGACACTATTCGAGAGTTGTATGCATAATTAGCTCTAAATATTCAACGGTAAAAGATAGGAAATAAACTTTGCAGTTATGATAAGGACTGCAGACTAAAAATAGCTAGTTATTTTTATATTTTCGAAATGAAAAACTACTTTACACTCTTTGTAACAATATGTATCTGTAAGTGAATGAGGATAGCCTACACCACAACACTTAAGCCACAGCAGCAGTGCTTCCTCCTGGACAGACCACATCCATCAAGCCTGGTAATTCGACGTAGGCGATGACAGTTTGAAGAGTCGAACCTCTGATTACTTTTACTGATTACTGATTTGCTTCGCCGAGCATGGATTCACGGCTAAACGATAGGACCGTCGCACAGAATGTGTTCCACTGACTCGAATTGCTGTTGGCACACCCTGCACATGGGAGTACTTCTCAAACCCATTCTAAATTGTTTTTTGTTAAGAAAGCAATGATTCGTAAGAATTTCTGTGCCCATGAGTATCTTCTTCCTGGACCTAGGCTTAGTTTTCCTGGTTAGCTAAGAGTGTTCTTTTTCGTCCTATTGTTTTATAAATATCCGGCAGTACTACTTGTCGTCACCAGACCGACAGAAGCCTGCGGTGCTACTGGTCAGGGAGTATATCCTTTAATCCAACTAACAACGCACGGCCAACCACATTATAGACTCACGCGTCAAAGTGGACAGGATGATATTCTAGTGCTAGTTCTGCACATAAAACGTGGTCTATGAAGTATCACAACTGCCTGTCTGTAATCTCTATAAATGCATACAGTTTAAAGGATTTGAAGTACACACACACATCCCGATCATTTTTTTACTCTTTAGACCATCGAAGTAGACGTTGCCCTTGCCTCGTTGATCCGTATATCCTTAAGATCTGTTTAAGGCTCGCATTCAGTTTCCTGTTGTGTCTTGTAGCCCCAAACAATTACACTACATACTTTAGAAAATGTCATAGCTCTCCTTTCAGTTTTATTTTTTGTATATTTAGTTTCTTAGGATTCTACGTTGAATAATTATTGTAACATGCAACATACTTTTCTGATAAATACTTTTTTATTAGAAGTAATTATCATTATTTATTACTCGGGTGCATGTTATTTGTGTTTTAAGTCGTTTAATTCGCTAATTGGCTAATAAATTCTAAAATCTATTATTATTTGATGTACATAATTCTTTTCATGTTATTGAATAATAAAATAATTTAAAATTTGTTTATAAATTTATTTACCCTATGTACCAATGTGTAACAAAACATAATTTACTAAGTTGTTCATTTCCATATAGAAATAACTTGAACAAAATTTTAATTTGAAAAATATTATACTATCATACTATTAAAAGAAAGACAGATCCCAGAAAAATAAATTCGTAGTTCTATGTACCAAATATAAGCAATTAAAAGGCGTAAAATTTAAATTCTCTTTGAAACGCACTGTCATCATTGACTGTGACCGATTGTAACGTCAATTCGATCGTAAGAGACCAGAGTATACAGAAACCATTAAGGAACGATAATTTGAATCTTGAACCTGTCGCTTGCTTTGGATTGTTTAAAAGGGCAATCTGATAATTTACCTTTAGTAGATATGTTTATGGTGACTTCTTACCTACAAAACATCGAAAGTTTTTCTTTTGCTGAGGTTCGCGGTGTTAAAACTAAAAGGTATGTTCACAGAAAATGTAGCCAATAGTTTTAAACCAATATAATAATGTAATCGGCTTATAGTTGTCTAGTTTTTAAAATTTAAATAAAAAATAATAAATAAATAATGCATTTTACTAGTTGCACTCAAATACGATTTGTAATATCGTTTTTGTGTTGCTTCCATTATTATTATGTAGAGCACACTAAGCACAAATACAAACTGACGTAAATTAAATACCAACATAACTTTACATAATCCAAAAATAGACGTAAACGAATAAAAAGTTTATCTGGCATTTTACCAGTTGCACTCAAATACGATTTGTAATATCGTTTTTGTGTTGCTTCCATTATTATTATGTAGAGCACACTAAGCACAAATACAAACTAACGTAAATTAAATACCAACATAACTTTACATAAGCCAAAAATAGATGTTAAAAATATAAATCTATACAACATCTCGCAGTATCGATTGAATAGCAGCGGTATGACATCACGATCATTCCCGCGCGTTTAATGTCGTTTAAAAGAAATAGCCGGGTGAATTAATATTGGGTTTTGAGTTTTGATATTTGGTAAGCGTTATTCCTATACATGACCGAATATATTAAAGAAATAAAAAAAAATAATAAAGTATATCGATCTTCACCCACCAACGGGAGATAGTTTTCCGGGCCACTGTGTGGTGGCACCGTTCTTGTACTTTCACGTTTTTATACTGAGTTTTCACTTCTTAACTTTAGTATTCTGTGCATTGCAGTAAGCTTTAGGCGCATAGTCGGGACGACACCATTCGATAAGCACTTGTTTAGATGCGTATAATGTTTAAGTAAAATTTTGATTTCCGAATAAAAAATTGTGAGGGAGTCTGTAAATCAGTCAGAGTTTATTTGGGATTATCAACGACATTGTACAAATATTTTAATCGAAATTTCTTACAATGTCTTTACATGCAGTCCTATGTAAATGTTTTTGTACCTGCTGGAGATATTATTCATATGACTGAGGAATGACTAAACAATGAAACCATAACTTGTTGGATATTGTCTGTAGAACTTGTGGTACTGATTTGGTTAAAAGCAAGAACCTTTTGCGGTGCTGAAAGAAAAACCGATTTGTGGTTTAAATTTGTAAGATTAGCAATGTTGGTACCTCGATTTTTAATAAAATTTAATCGAGAACCCCTTGTAGTGATAGTAGACAAAATAATAAGTCCGCTGCATTTTTTTTTTCATATTTGAGCTTATTAAACATGTCAACTGTTATTTTTTCCATTTGTGCTCCGACCATGCAGAATACATATTTGTTTATTAGAATTATAATAACTTTGAAATAATCTAACTAAACCAGCATTATTTCCTTTTAATATTTGTAGATTTAGATTAGAAATATATATTCAGTGGCAACGATACCTAACTATTTTCTTTGCCATAACTGTCATAACTGTATAAAAATTGTTAGTAAGCACATTATTACCGATATCACTACTACCTTTGTGGAGGATGAAATGCAACGGGATTAATGTCTGCATATTTATGGCCGTGTTGTCTGTACGCGGTCACTAGCCTGTAAAAATTACTTTCTTTGCATCTATTTTTGATAACTTCATCAGGAACTGAAAACAAATAATAAATTAATTTACGTATTATTTATACAAGGTGTCTCACAAGAAACTTCGTCGATCTATTATACAAACTATAAGTAGCTAAAATTTGTTTTAATTCTTTCAAGTTGTATTTTATTACCTCACTCTGTAGA